TATCCACTGGCTTTAACACTAATCACTTAGTGTGCAGTGGACCAAAAATTACAACAAAAGTATGTTAAGCTCTGCACACTGGCAGAGAGACGAGAGAGACCGAGGGAAACACGAGGAGTTTATTTCTCACTTTCCATAGGAAGAGTAACATGTGTGCTAGCGAGAGATTACTCAGTCACACCTGACCTTGTTCCCAAAGCTTAATTTGTGGATGTAGGTGCATCGATATCAATTGCAAAGATAAAACAGTATTAAGTCTGGTTCTTTATTCCTGATTCCCCCTATTCTTATGCTGCTTGCATATGTGCTTTTAGCAAACAAGGCTAATGGGATACAAACGAACTAAATGTAACTTACGTCTTAAAAAGGCAGGAAAGGAAATCAAAGGAAAAAAATAAAATAAAAAATGTGATTTACTGCAGATGTGTGTCAACAAACAGGATAAAAGCAGGTTTAAGACACTTGAGCACTGGCCCCTTTTTTCAAACCCTGGGTGTTTTCTAATTTCTTTTTAGTTTATCCTAAAGAAATAAAAAAAAAATGCTGCAAACTTTTGAAGATAACACACCATGGGTCTATGTGAGGTTAGAAATGTTAAACCACGTGCACATATTGTTTTCTGTGTCTGGCTGCCCAGCATGTCCAGACTCTGCTGTATCTTCATCACGGTAAACTCATTAATTCGACTTCTTTGTGTCGCACTGTCTAGTTGTTGTATACTTTCCGGCCTGCTGAGTAAGTGAGTGAGCAAATGGTGTGCTATTGGATTTGACATGCCCTGCAATGAAGGTCACAAGATGAAAAAGCAGAGAGAAAAGAGTTAGCAGACTAAAATGGAAGAAGAAGCGGTTCTGGTTGGAGCACATTAAAGCAACACCTGACATAAATCGACTTACCTGAGTGTGTGAGAGACAAACCGAAGAAGACCAAACCAAAACCATGTCTCCATCTGGACATAAAATCATTTTTTTTCAGATGTAAATAGGTGACAGTTTTGCTGGCTGCTGTAACAACAGTTCAGTCTGGTGTATATCCTTTTCTTAGAGTTTATCCATTACCTAAACAACTGCTGGCAAGCAAAAAGGCTCTGATGAAAAAGGAAATGATGTGCTGCCTGATATCACCCATTAGTTAGAAGCTTCAGGCTGAGCCTTGTCACTGTTGCCATGTTGGTATTAGGAATGATTAAATAACCTGCTGTAATATAGAGCTTACTGATGAACTGAGAGACACTACAAGCTAGCCTCACCTTTCATCATATCCTGCTTGATTGTGTGTTTACATGGAACCATGATTTACAAAATTAACATAATGTTGGATTTGGATTTTCTTGCCAAAGTGCTTTATGTAATATAAAAACATTTCAAAGATACGTAGTGAAATAAAAAATGTTAAAGGTTTCGTCACTCATGGACTTTTTTCTTCCTTTTTTGGACTCATCAGCACGAGTGGTGTGGGAATGTTTTTGAACTGTCTGCTGATTCAGTAAAAGGACTCGATGTTACAATCCCTAATAATGCATTGCTTTAAATGGAGAAAATCTTGAGGGATGGCTGTTATGAGGAAAGGCAGCCCAGAAACTTTACCAGTGGCACACATCGTTGTGTGCCTCAACTTTCAGTCTTTCACCCAAGCTCATCTGCTAAGCTAAGACTTTCTATTTGTGTGTTTTCTGGTATATTTGTTCATTCATGAGGTGTAAGATCTGTCAAAGACAAAAATAGTGCATGCTGATGGGAATACTCAAGCGTTTACTATGTTTTGTATAACTTTTATTGGTTTCCACCTTTACATACATATCAAATGTTTCTGTGTGTTTGACCTCACCCTTTGTCCAGTAAATGAAGTGTTTGGTTTTAGTCACATTACCGACAACTTTCTGAAGCACGTCCGTCATTCCCACGTTCATTTTTAGCTGCGTTCATCTCAGCTAATTTGGTTTGACAGGAGACTTTTGAGGATCTCTGAGTTTGTTTTTGAATAATAATCTATTGCTCACATTTGGATAATATTCTGTGTTTGATGCGTCAAATCGCAGTTCAGCTGCCACTTCAGGCTCATAGTTGTGTAAGTCTGTGTGCATGCTTGTGTGTGCTGTCTGGATGATGCCCAGCCTTGCTTCATGCCAGGGGATAAAAAGCTGCAGCCTCTATGGGAGATTTTGACTGAGTGATGGACAGAACATTGGGAGCTGTTTAAAAACTGTTGATCCTATTAAAGAGCAAAATTAGAGAAATGACAGGTAGTCGTAAAATACTTGAATTGGATATTTTACTCTGAGGTAAATCTATATTCAAAGTGATATGAATAAAACTTTGCATAAGTGTTAAAATTTAAAGTGTTTAATTTGTGCTGATTCAGTAAAAGCAACAAATTAATTGTTAATGGTAGTTTTTCTGTGTTGTTGATGCAAGAACTTTACTTGTGTAACTGCAGTAACGAGGCTGTGGAGTTTACATGAGTCAGTGATACTACTGAAATCAGATCAGACACAGACACAGTGCAGAACATGTTTGATTACAGGTGCTATTATGACTTAAAATATAGAAGATGGTTATTCATTTGTCATGTGCCGTTTGGCTCGATCACAATTTCCTCCTCAGGATTTACGTGCTGTTGATTCATGTGCCTCTCCTCTGTTTAAACACACACAAATATTAAGAGAGGGAGTGCTGGCTGGTTGGTTTAAGCAGCTTATCTTGACCTTCTGTTCATCTGTCTATCATAACCCTCGCTCTCCTCTGTGTATGAGCTTATAACACTTTCATCCATCTCTAACGAACGTGAAGAAAAATGCAAACACATTGTGTAAAATAAATGTTGCAGATGGTTTGGAATAATATCAGTTTTTGGCAGTGTTGTAAAATGACTGTCTTCTGAACTCTGCACATAGAGTTTACGCTACCATCCTATTTTATGTTACGGTGGATTTTTGCTGGTCCAGGCCCATTGCAACGCTGCACTGGATAAACAGTTAGGAAAATAGATGGATGGACTATTGTTTCCTTAATGTAATAAATCATTCTCTTTTGCACACTTCTCTTGGTGTTTTTGCAGTAAAACTAATTTTAAGTGAGAAGTTTGCAGAATTATTTCAGAAACGTAAGTCATTCATACAATCTGCTAATGGTCATTATGGTCATTGTTCTTTTAGTTTTGGTTATTTTTGTAAAGCGCTATACAAATACAGGCTATTTACCATTTTTGTGAGTGCATAACCATGGCCTCAAATCATGAAATTTTGCACACATATCAGGTCTGGTGATATTCATGCATTTCATGGGTTTTGCACAAGGGGGTTGTAAAATATGCCTGAGAAACATACTTTGAATTGAAATTTGGTACACATGTACACACATGTAACGTCCCACAATGTACAGAAACATCTCTGGGACCTCTGATTATTCAGCACAAAATTTGCTGTGATTCAGACATACATTGTCCAATCTGGTCCTGGTATAAACGCTGTATGATGATATTTAATGAAATGACAGTTTTTACACTTTAATCCACTGATCCGAGCAGTTTGATCAAAGCCACCAACAACTTACCGCCTTATCTGATTTGCCACAAACTCTCTATGTGCGACAGTTGTAGCAATCCTTTGATGTACTCCTCACAGGTTGATCACGTCCACCTTAAAAGTAATCTAAATAAAGTTCAGATCTTAATATGTTATGTGAAGGCTGTGTGTAGGCAGGAGTGGTAGTAGGAGGACCCAATTAATTGGGTTAATAGTTAGTTAATATTTTCTCTGAATGCGGGACGATTATGTTTGTACGGGACGGTTGGCAACTCTACTAACTAACCTTATGAATTAAATAAAGTTCACTATCAGTAACATCATAGCACCTGCCCAGCTGTATAGAAACTCCGTCATGCTAGCTAGTACGCAGTACGAGTTATTGTAACTGACTGTAAGAAGTCAGCACAACGAAAATAAACTGCACCTAAACTTGGTTTATATCTGACCCAGATAGACTGCAGGTCATAATTTCGGTAAACCTGACGCTCGGACCGGCGGCCGCCTCGGGTCTCTGCTCCTCCTGCCTCCCCTTTCCCTCATCCACCTGCTGGCCTCTGTGGAAGCGCCGCCATAGCCACCACCAAACAACTGAGTTATTTTTACACATCGGCCAGCATCTGGACAAACCTTCCATTGTTTAGACCTGTAAAAACGAAAAATCAGTGATACTACTGTATCACTGGTGCATAGCTGTATCACAAAAAATCAGTGATACAGCTATGGCCATCCAGTATGGCCAGTCCAGCTATGCTGACAATGCAAAACTGCGAAAACTAAGGAGACAAACTAATTGGCCTTTAGTCATAGTCGTGGTGCCACCTAGTGACAACAGGAAGTTCTGTTTGCTGACAATACAAAGATTTACTGCATAACATTTTCATTGAGGGTTTCAGACATGATATGAAGCAATATGACAAATAATAACTGGAAATTCTCCAGAGCCACCTAATGAGAACACAAAGTGATAAATAACTCATTTATTCCACAGTCAATTAAATTTCATTAAAGTGATTGCATGAGATGCCTCTACTGCAACACGATCCGCTGGCATTTCTCCTCAACCACAGCGTGTCTGAGCGTGACGTATACCAAGGTGCCAGAGTCCTCATTGCTCCTTGTAGTTTTACTTACAAGTGTCTTATCTTAAGCAGCAGCAGATCTGGATTGTGTATATGCAGGAGCTTGCTTGCACGTGCACAGTGGACATGAGGGGATTGTCTGCCATTAAAGCATTATTCTGTCAGATGGATGTAAAAAGAAAATGCAAATAAATTCCAAAATGTACCTTGGTAGCTGCTAATATAGATGTGGCTACGTGTGTAAGAAAATGTGTTAAAGACAGTGTATAGCAGTTTTCATCTTTGTTGATATGGACACCTGATTTCCTTCACACTCTCCTTCACACTGTTTTAAGGTTGACATAGCCTAAATATTTAATCTACAATTTGTATTCTTTTTATTGCTTCCACTGCAGGTTGACGGCCGACATCCAACCTGTAACTTCCTGCTGGAGGTGGAGAGAGACCAGGCCGAGTGCATAAAGAAGCTGAGGGAGAAGCAGGCCAACAGCAGCTATAAAGGTCACAATCACTCAAAGCACAACTGTTAGAAACCAGATATCTTCTAACAGTAACTTGGAAAAACTTTGTGTAGCTGGACAGAATCTTTAAATCTGGCTTGTTTCAAGCATTAACGTGGCCGTTGTGGCTCCACGGCTCATGCTAACGTTGCCTTTTCCCCGACAACAGGTGTTTGAGGAAATACCAAAATTAGCTCCCTCGATCATCCATTGTGCTGACTGCATTAGGGATCAACATCTGGTGCAACTGATCTAATTATCCTGCGTATTCATTCATGCACACCGGTTTGCTAACACCTGTGGCTGTGGAAAGCTTTCACTCTGCAGAGCGAGTCTCTAAATACTAAAGGAAAGAAAATGAGATAATTCATGGGAAGCAGCACAAATTGTGTAGATGTTAATTAACAGTGTTTTCTGTTTTATAAGCCATGACATCCTGATAGGTTATGAACCTTCAGTGAAAGGCTGATAAACCCAAAGGTGAACTATGAGTGTCATGCTGCTGTAATAAAATCAGCTTATATAAGCTTAAAAGCTTATATAAATAAGCTTTATAAAGATTATGATCTATTTTAAGATGGTCAGCATGAATGTAAGGTTTATCATAACTCACTTTGCATTAGTTTTGCACATTGCTATACTGCCCAGCCTTTAAGACTGTCATTAATTAAAAGGCAGGAGTTATACTGGATCATGTCTCCTGTGGGAAGAGGAAATGTCAGCAGACGGGATGAGAATGTGACAAGCATTTCATCTTGTTTTATAGACTTTTCTTTAACATTACAAGTAAAATGTTATTTTTACAGGCTGTCCTCTGTATGTGAGTGATATCAAACAGCATCATAGCCGATGGAGTTAAGTTTCTGATGTGCTCTTTGTAATTTATACTTGGGACAAAGTTTCAGCATAGCAGACCCTCATCAAGAACATTCACTGTCACATCAAAGAGCCTTGTCTAAGTAAAGTCTTGGTGCACTGCATTTTCCTCCCTAAGTCTTTATAAATTTCTCCTTTCCTTTCTTTATGAAGGTTTTCAAAGTGAAGGAAACGTTATTAGGAAAAAGTGATGGGGGGAATCTTTTGGTCTATTTGACCTCTGGCACGATTTCCAAGATTGTTTTCTGGGACAATTATTTTTGCCGCGTTTGCCCTCTTGAATGGTGAGGACACAGAAACTGAAGTCACATCTGCTGGTGCAAACTGTGCTTTCATGTAGTGGCAGCTCTTATTTCTTTGATTCAGGTTTTGACTGGTATAGGAAACATTTTCTTCTATACAAGTGCTAATACTGAGGTTTTGCCTGTTGGCGACACTTCTTGCTGCAGCGAGTATTCGCAGCTTAATGATTGGTATAAATGTTAAAGAGCTGTGGCAACGTCACTGTTTGGAATTTATTTGTATTTTATATTTTTGATTTTTTGCCCAGGATTGATTAAATAGCTTTAGTTGTGATAAATTCCTTCATTCTTATCATGAAACTAAAATTATTGCTAACCAGCTAATTTCCTGTCCTTCCTTTCCTTATTTGTAAGCTAACCGGGTTCCACTTGCAAAAGTTATTCATATCATTGATATCTTTCAGCTACTTATACAGTGTATCTCTTGTTTTGTAGTTGAACAACTCCAGCTCCAATGCAGCGTTTAGTACAGCAGTTCTCCTGGCGGTCCTTAGAAGGAAATCCCTCAGGCATTTAGCTATTGGGTTATCAGTAATTTAGTGTTTGCTTTGAGTCAAACTTTCAAATGAACTTTTATAATTATTCATTTTCTTTTTATAAAGTTGAAGTTTTGCTTTTTGTTCCACTGAAATAGGCTCAGATAAAGAGAAAACATTTGCAAAAGTAAATCCTGCAGTCTGAAGGCTGATATGCAAAAGCATGAAGGACCCTGCATACAGTGTGTACATGTAATCACACCACGTGAGAACATGATTAGATCTCATAACGCAGTTTAAGCCTATATTTTGTCTTCTGTCCAGCCATGTTTTCTACACAACACGAAAAGCTTTCGTAAAGGTCACTTAGCTTTCACCGAGTGCACTGAAAATCTGTGCAATCTCTGCAGCTGGGAATGGATTCACACGAAATCATTCCTGAATTAAATCACGACAGATGTGTGATTGTTTCTGCCAAATTCAGGAAAAAAACGAATCACAAATTTAGCCTGTTATCCTGAAGTATAGACTGCTGCTCAAACTTTTGGGTTACTTTGTGATCTAAAATAAAAATGACAAATAATCTTTTTTTTTGTAAGGGCTGATTTTCTTCCAGTGGCACATTGTGCTACCTAAAATTTAACTTAAATAAATTAATTTAGTTAAGTGTCTGCAGCCTCAGTGCCTGCGGGTTCAATTATAGTGTTGAAATGGCCAACTATCCATCTAAACTTGAATCAAACAAAACAAAAAAGAAAACAGAGACTTACCCCTGACAGGTCCTGATTGTAATGATTATTAATCTCACTGTTGAATAAAGTTTTGTTTTACGGGCAGTTTCCCATATGAAATATCTTTAATTTCTGTTTTGAGGAAAATTTTAACACAGTAATTGAATCCACAGAGGCTGATGCATGCAATGACCAGATTTAGCCCAGAGGATGATAACCATGGGCGTCTGTTGCTCAGGGAGCTGCTGTGGTGGTTCAACAAAAGAGAAACGCTTCTTTATTCTTGATCCTTAGAGTTAAACACAGTAGTAAATCTTTTACTATAATAATATATTAACAAGTGCCACCATTAGCCTGTGGGCCACGCTTTGACACCCTGAAATTAGACTGAGATAGGTAAACGTGCAAAGAGTAGAACATAGAGAAGGTTTAAACGCTTGGGGAAAAAACATCTGAAGCAACAGACAGTTCACGAGAGAGGTGAAGACGAGAGTGGAGCAGGGCGGAGACGAGTGTCAGGGGTGATTTGTGACAGCAACGAGGCATTTTCTTCAAAAACATTTTCCCCAAAAACACCCAAGCGCTCTTCTGAAACCCAGACTTGCTATTAATTTATTATCATTTGATTACATGAGTTTGTGTGTAAGTTTTTCTGCCAAGGATCCTGCAGGACGCTGTTGTTTATCATTTACAACACAAGTTTGACTTTTATTGATGTGACAAAATAATCTTACCTCAAGGTTTGGTCGGGTCTCTTGTCTGAAGATTGTAAGATATTGCTTCTGGTGGTCTTTAATAATAGTGCTGTCAAGAGGAGCAGGTTTGAAAATTTTTTGAACTGACTGAGAACAAGCCTCTGTTTTGGATATGTACACAACACTGACTGGTAGCTAAGAATTAAACTGCAAAACTTTTGTAATACCCCTTGATTTAAAGCTGAAAGTCTTCAGTTCTTTCACGCATTGATTTCCTTTGAAGTCCTCTGTGGTTGTGTACAAAGACTTCTGCCTTGATGACCTCACTTTGGACATGGCCAGGCTAACAGTTCTGTTCTCTTTTCATCATTGCATATAAAAGCAGCTCAGCAGTTTTCCCAAATGTTGACTTATGCTTTCAAAATAGCTGATTAGTCTCACCCAGACTTTATCTTCCTACGTGCCCATCTGCAAAAGAGGCTAATTACCACAGAAAATACACCGAATGTGGTCCTCTGATGAAGTTCACAGCTCAGAAAGTACAAAACAGAAAGGAGTCGGGAGAAAATTGAAGAGAAAAGCCTTTAAAGAGCTTTTGATTATATATTTTTGTTGAACTAAACTAAGTGTAAAGTAAGCGTTTTTAATGATCCATAAAGAAAAATCCACCACTTTTACATAAAAATAATGAGAAATACTGGAGTGAGAGTTGGTGATATAAAAATCTCTAACCTCTTCGCCCCTGAGCCACATGAAACATAGTGAGGGATAGTGAAAAAGTCGAATCATCAGTCATCCGGCCACCGCAGTCAAAAATGTAAACAGATGGAGACAGTTTATGTGTTTGAACCTCAGCTGGGACATACTCAATACAACATTGTAAATCTGGTGATGTATTTTAATGTTCTGAGTGAGTAGTTTCTATGCAAATCGTGCCAGATGTTATAATAATATACAGTACCATTAACATCGGAACATTTGTAGCACACGTGTTTCAAATTTTGAAGTATATCAATATTAGTCCGACTCCTCCTTTAGTCTGCTTAGAGAGAGGAGGTCCATAAGCTGACCAAAAATTAAAATAAATAAATAAACAAATAAAAGAACTCAGCTGCAGGATAGTCCCCCTCCCCATCTTGATAAATTTAGACTGCGTGGACCACAGATTTGAATTCCTGGAAATCTGCAGAACAGACAGTCTCTCCTGGTCTGCAGGCGCAGCAACTCTTACACTTTCTCAGAATCCTGAAGTAAAGCTCTGGTGACCTTTAACCGCTCCACAGTAGGAAGTGTCTTAACATACTGCCTCACATTGTGGTGTGCTGTGGTATGCTGGATGCTCAGTGGTGACTAAAAAAAGGTCTACAGAAGGTCATCGATATGGACTAAAAAAATAATTGGCTGTCCTCTTGCCTCTGTCCGAGACAAAATTCTACTTCTCTAGATCCCAGAGTATTGTTCAGTCTGCTCTCACCTCCCCTGCCACATGTTTAACGTACATGTCACTCCTCTCTATAATGTTTTATTATATTTTATGCAATATGTCACTTCACATGCCAATACCATGATTCGTGCAATAGCCGTGGGCAGGGATACATGTGGTATAGCTACCTGTTTTATATTGTGTACAATTTATTTAAATGCAATTTATATAATATCATATTGCAACAGTGTAACTCTAATGCATGGAGCAGGGGTGGCACTCTCATCCAGTCTCATTACATCCTGTATATAATGATGTTTTTTAAACAATAATAAACATCAACTCTGCATGTGTCATTTAAAATGGCAGGATCATTTTATTACATTTAAAAATGGTTTGATTCTGTAGCAACAGGTGAACATTTTTGTGAAGAACCTAAGCTAGGTTTATGCTGCTATTTATAAAAAAAAAAAAAAGCCCAATATTGTTACTTCCTCG